TTAAAAATTAAATTTCTATAAAGTCATTGAAATGAGCCCAGAGGCACAAGGCCTGAGTGAGTGGCATGCTATTCATAGGGCTGCATGTGGATTTGTCTTTATCTATAGCAAAGGCGAAATTCATGTCAGTTGGGGAAACTTCATTTTAAGAGCCCCATTCTATGTTATATAAACAAAATATATCAGGAGAATAATAAGCAAAGGACTTGAATATGCATGTCACAAAAGATTTATAAAAGGCCAGAGATCATGGGAAAAACGCTCAACCTCATTAGTATTCAAAGAAATACAATTTGAAGTAATAACCCACCCAAATGGGCTAGGTTACATAGATTGATATCACCCACAATTGGCAAAGGTATGAGATAACAAGCTGTTTAAAATGGCACAATTCCTTGGTAGTGGCAGTTGAAATAGTTTTCTTTATACTTTTCAATATTGCCATTAAAAATAATGCGCTTTTAATTTTACACTAAGTCATGATGCTATTGTCATTTGGAAAACACATATACAGATAAGCATCTCTATATATACACACACAAATATTTACACTCACAAAATGGTACTACATATGCCCTCGTTCAGGGCCATCTTCATACTGAACTACAACTGGATTCTCCTCAAAGTGACCGCACTTCCTTGCTTGAAATCCTTCAGTGGTTCTGATTTCAACAAGAGAAAGTGTGAACCCCTCCACACTGCATCAATACCCTTCAAGATCTGATCTTGTCTACCTCTCACCTCACATTTTTTGGTAGAAATTACATATAGGAGCAGGCACTGTGGCAAAGTGGGTAAAGCTGCTGCCTGCAGTGCCAGCATCCCACATGGGCGTCAGTTTCAGTCCCGGCTGCTCCATTTCTGATCCAGCTCTCTGCTATGGCCTGGGAAAGCAGGAAGATGGCCCAAGTCCTTGGGCCCCTGCACCTGCATGGGACCCAGAAGCAGCTCCTGGCTTTGGATCAGCCCAGGTCCAACCACTGCAGCCATGTGAGGAGTGAACCAGCGGATGGAAGACACCTCTCTCTCTCTCTCTCTACCTCTGCTTTTCTGTAACTCTGCCTTTCAAATAAATAAAGAAATATTTAATAAAACAAAACAAAAAACTACATATAGTGCTTCTGGCTTCCTTACACATTAACTTGCCTGAAATTCCTAAAACACTCTTCCCCCTAGGGTACCCTCCCACACTTAATAGTACATTGGACTTCCCTTCCATTATTATACTTAGTGCAGAGCCTAGAAATCCTCTTGTCGGGCTGGAATGTAACCTAAAGCCAGTCTTTGACTTCTGAATCCGCAGTGCTAGCACAGTACCAGCCCACTGGACACACAAATTGTGCTTTACATAGAAATTGCTGTGTTTACTTTTCCATTTCTTGTTCTGATACCTAGCTTCATTTTCATTTATTGTCTGAAATGTTCACTACTGAATTTACAAAAGTGTTGGCGATTATACAGACCTACAAGAGAACTTGAACATCCTAACTTGAACATCCTAACTTGTTTTGTGTATCTTTCTCTGTAAACCAAATTTTATCCCCTGATAAACTTTGAAACTGATGACAGCTGAGCTTAAAAAGAAATCAGAATTAATTACCTACCACTGGTGTGTTCGTTTTGAGGAGGAAAGCAGCTAAAGTCAAGGTTTAGAGGCTCTTCCAATACCCTGAAACAGATGTTCAGAGAAGGCAATGGCTTGAGACTTACTAAATGAAGGGAAAAAGAAAAGGAAGAAGGGAAGGAACTTGGACACACTCTGAACTGAAAACACAACCACAATTTGGCTCCTGTTGGTGAATGTCATTGTCGTGAAGGTCTGGCTGTGTTGCTTGCAGATGACATATGGCCATCTTTATGGTCCAGCAATGACTATAGCTAAAGGAACAGGTTTCTGCCTTCCAGGAGCAACAGCGGTTATTACCAAATGAACACATCCTTTGTCCAGTTACATCCAGTATAGTTAGGTATAACATTTAAAACATAGATTTATTTGAAAATCACAGCAACAGAGAAGGAGGGCGAAATCTTCCATTCACTGGTTCAACTCCCCAAATGCCTGCCACAGCCAGGGCTGGGCCTGGCTGAAGCCGGGAGGCATAAACTCCATCGAGGTCTCCCACATAATAGGGCCATCGTCTGCTGCTGCCCAGACACATTAGTGGGACGCTGTATCAGAAGCAGGAGTAGCCAAGACTCAGTCGGGCACTCTGATACGGGATGCAGGCGTCTCAAGTGGTGGCTCAGCCCGCTGTGCCCTCTGCCTTCCCAGTGATGTACAGCTTTCAGAGTAAACTACCGGGTATTCAGCTAATGACCAAAGAAGGTGAACAGCCTACATAATCAGATATTGCTTTTCTTCGCTAAGCCTTCAACCAAAGGTCTTTGAAGGTATCATGTAAAGGTGCAGACAGCAAATTCATAAAGGGAGAAAACAGAGAAACAATGCCATTTATTCATAAAATACTTCATTTTATCTCAAGAATTAGATATGTTTAATATCTCTATATAAATCGATTGGATATTTTAGCCCCAATCAGTTTTTAAGTCTATTCTAAGACTTAGAAAAGTCTTTTTTTTTTTTCCTATTTAGATTTATGACCAGAGAAGATTCCTCTCTTATATGTGAACTTATTGGTCCAAGTAAGGTATAATCAATACTGAAATGCAAGGCAACTTCTGGAAGAAGGGCAAAAATAAAGTGCAAGTTCTAAATTCTTTTCTAATTACTCAGCCAGGCCAATGGGAGGTCCTGCTAATGTCAAAGGCAGCCCTGGTTTGTGTCTGAGCAGTCATTTTATTTCTGAAGAGAAAACGATAGGTGTTTGCATAGTGAAGCACGCAGGGACACAGTGGCTCTACAGTTGGGGCTTCCTGATTAAATCCGCTGTCCTAAGTGCCCGTCCAGTACCACACAGGCAGCTCAGACATCTGATAAGGCTCTACACGAAACAACAGCGTTCCCCACAAGAATGATGATTTCTCTCGTCAACTTAACAACAGAGAGAACTTATTTGATTGAACCCCTGTTTTTAAAATAGATTGCCATGTCAGTTTTCCTCTATAAACTGCCAAACTATGACAGGGTTCTTATGTCAGGTAGAAAAACTGTTGACCATGGAGATGTTTAAACTACTCCTTTGATCCTAGGATAAACCAAGCAGTTCATTATTTCAAAATGTACACAACAGGCATTCTCTTCAGGTTATCAGGGCATCTTCAAAATACGTCTCAAACGATCCAGAAGCCCTGCATGTTGAACAGTGACACAGACCAGAATCAAATTCATGTTTTCAAGGAAAAGTATAAAACATTGTTCAGCAAAAGCAGCAGCTGTCTATGGCAGCCTGTCGGGCAGGCGGTCCAGCTCGAATCACCCCCGCTTCCTCTGTGTGCCGACTGGGACTTTCTCACGTTCTACTTGATTGAGAGCCTGGGTCCAAGGAAGTGAGAGCCAACAGTCGCTTACTTAACAGTGCGTTGTGTCGTTTCAGGTATACTATTAGGTCTCCTTGCTTTTCCACGACTTCTTCTAGGCTTGAAATGGTCCTGCAGAGAACCGAGACAAACATGGGTTGCCTGTATTCACCAGCATTCACCCGTCTCATGGCAAACAGGTCCCTGCTGGTTTGCGGCACAGCATAGCTGGAACCTTTATAAGATGTTCATAACACTCTTTCATGATGCGTTTTCCATCTCTGAAACAAACCTATTTTATATATTTCCATTTGAAATTGTAAAAACTTTCACAACTCTAAGACTTTAAAATGGCATCATCATTTTATAAGGCATTTTAATTTGCTAAAGTATGATCATTGACTCTAAGTAAAATTTGAAGAGACAAGTAAAGACAAAATTTGCTCAATAACTGACAGATGATTTAGCATTATAACAGACTACTTTGACCAAGGGAAGCATTTTTAAAAAATGTATAGCACTATTTTTCCCTTTATTCATTTGATAAAAATTAAAATAGATAAGAATATAAAATAAAATACAAATCTAACTCCTTCTTTCACTACTCTTCACCCACTTTGGTATCACTCCTTAGAAGTGTTTGGCCTAGCGGAATTAAGATACCATTTGGAAGATGCGCATCCCATGTGGGAGTGCCTGGGTCCCACTCCTGGCTCTACTTCTGATTCCAGCTTCCTACTAGTGCACATCCTGAGAGGCAGCAGGTGACGGAGTCCCTGCCCCCGCCCCCCCATTTGGGAGACCTGGAGTGAGGTCCTGGCTTCTGGTTTAGGCCAGACCCAGCCCTGGGTATTGTGGGCATTTAGGGAATGAACTGGCAGCAGGTGAGAGCTCTCTGTCTCTCAAATAAATCAAAGAAAGAATTCAAAAAATCTATAAAATACTTTGAGGGGCCAGTGTTGTGGCAAAGTGGATAAAGCTGCTGCCTACAACACTGGCATCCCCTAGGGGAGTTGATAAGTGTCTCAGCTGCTCCACTTCCGATCCAGCTCCCTGCTAACATGCCTGGGAAAGCAGCGGAAGATGCCCTAAGTGCTTGGGTCTCTGTCACTCACGTGGGAGACCTGAAAGAGGCTCCTGGCTCCTGGCTTTGTGGCCATTTGGGGAGCAAACCAGTGGATGGAAGATTCTCTCTCTGTCCCTCTCTCTGTAAACTCTGACATTCAAATAAATAAAATCAATCTTTAAAATAAAATACTTTGAATTTTCTTCTACATTTGAAAAATGAGTACTAGACAAAGTAATGATAATTATAAATACATACCAGATGGGGGCTGGTGCTGTGGTGTAGTGGGTAAAGCTGCTGCCTGCAGTGCTGCCATCCCATGTGGGTGCCACTTCAAGTCCTGGCTGCTCCACTTCCAACCCAGCCCCCTACTAATCAGCCTTGGAAAACCGCGGAAGATGGCCCAAGTGCTTGGGCCCCTGCACCCACGTGGGAGACCTGGATAAGGCTCCTGGCTTTGGCTTGGCCCTGCCCTAGCCATTGAGGCCACTTGGGGAGTAAACCAGCAGACCGAAGACCTCTCTCTATATATAACTCTTTCAAATAAATAAAAAAGCTTTAAAAAAATACTAGATGATTTTTTAATGTTGTGACTACAGATGGTCTATCCAGGAAACACAGTAAGCATGTATTTGTTTATCCTTTATGTGTTGAAAGGGAAAATGTCAAGGGGTGATAAGTGAAATGTATTCATGGTGAACAGTACTGTGTATAAAATGGCCCCATGTGAAAAAAATAAAAGACATAAGCTTATAAATACTGGGGTACAGGTGTGGGCTGGAAAAAACCTGAATCCCAATCCTGCCTTTGCTACTCCCTGGTTGTGGGACCTTAACAAGCTACATAAACTCTCTGGTCTTAGCAATTAAAGTAACAACAAACATTCACCACTTAACATGGTAAAGTACCTGGGACTGCTTTTTTGTTTCCCCTAAGGTTGGCTACTCACTGAGGACGCACTGTTTGTCAGAGGTCTTCAGGCTGTCCTGGTGGGATTGAGGATGGATGCCACGAACAGGGATGACTCTCTAGTATGCTTTCAGCTACTGTCCTGGCTCCCTGTCCTGGCTCCAGCAGGACAGGGGGAAGTGTCTCTCACTCCCTGGGGCATTCTGCTTACTTCTGAGTCCCAAGGCTTTCAGGGCTCCACAGAAATAACAGCCACCTCTTTTTTTTTTTTTACAGGCAGAGTGGACAGTGAGAGAGAGAGACATAGAGAAAGGTCTTCCTTTTGCCGTTGGTTCACCCTCCAATGGCCGCCGCGGCAGGCGCACTGCGCTGATCCGAAGGCAGGAGCCAGGTGCTTCTCCTGGTCTCCCATGGGGTGCAGGGCCCAAGCACTTGGGCCATCGTCCACTGCACTCCCTGGCCACAGCAGAGGGCTGGCCTGGAAGAGGGGCAACCGGGACAGAATCTGGCGCCCTGACCAGGACTAGAACCCGGTGTGCCAGCGCCGCTAGGCGGAGGATTAGCCTAGTGAGCCGTGGCGCCGGCGAACAGCCACCTCTTAACACTTCTCACTTTTTCTGTATCCTCCAATTGCAGCTGCTCTGTCCTACACTATACAAAGTACAGCTCCTGCATCCACTATCCTTACCCTACATATTTTTTAAAACGTACTCATTTGAAAAGCAGAGAGACAGATACACAGAGTTTTCATATGCTGGTTCACTCCCCAAGTGCCCTTAATGGCTGAGACCGGGCCAGGCCAAAGCCAGGAGCCTGGACCTCAATCCAGGTCTCCCACATGGGTGGCAGGGACCCAATTATGAGCCCACGACTGCTGCCTCCCAGGGTCTACATTAGCAGGAAGGTGAAGTTAGGACCCACTGCTGGTTGGGAAACCCAGGTACTCCAACGTGGGACATGTACAGCTTAGTCTTAACAGCTAGGCCAAATGCCTGTCCCCTCCTCACTCAGAAATCACTTGTGCACTGGCGGCCCCTTCCTCCTTCAGTTCCTCTGTAAGTGCGAGTGGTGGGGCCTTTTCTGTTCCTTCACTACGATCCAGAAAAGCCTGGAGAAAGGATGAGGTAAGTATGTGTAGCTTGATGCAGAGCCTTTAACTGATGGTACTCGAATTTTCAAACCCAGATACATTTTCAAAGGGGCAATTCATACAGATTTTAAAATTAAAGGAAGGCCATGAAATGAATCTTGCTACCTCAAAGTTAACCATATGAGGTAAAGGAATACATATTACACAAACCGGACCTAACCCTGAAGGTACAAATGAAAGTTACAAGCTCCAAGATTAGAACAGTTTCTAGATTACCAAGAGGGGGAAAATCCTCAAGTGAATTAACTATTACTTAATTTGAGAGATGGAGACAGCAAGCCCCATCTGCTGGTTCATTCCCCCGTGCCTGCAATGGCACCCCACTGGGACCTAAGCCAGGAGTCCAGAACTCATCTCCCAAGTGGGTGGCAGGAAGCCAACTACTTACCTGAGCTGTCACTACTGCATCAGCAGGGAGCTGGAGACAGGAGTGGAACCAGGCCCACACTCCAGTGTAGCACACGGGTGTCCCAACCTGCGTCTTAGCTGCGAGGCCAAATGGCCACCCTGGAAACAGTCTTTTCTTCCTCTAATCTTGTATCCCACCCAAACCTTACCTGAATCCCGTCTCTGAGGTAATGTTGCCGGGGTAAGCACAGATTTTTTCTTCTTCAAGTACATCAGGCTGTGGTTTGGCTCTATTAAATTTTCTAATTTTCTCTAAAACAAGAAAGTCATTATCAGTCAACATTATCAATTCCCGGAAAAATTTTTATTTTCATCTATTCAAATTACGTTAATTTTTGTTCAGATAAGTTAACAGGCATAAAAGTGTTGCATGAAGTAAATATATGGGTTTATTAACATGCTCAAATGTGTCAGCACCTGTCAGGCCTGTACTAAGCTCTGGAAATACAGAAAATATGAGAGTAATATAAAAACAGCTGATCTTCATTGTGCACACCCAATGCGAGATGTGGTTTTACTGATTCACCTGGGTGCTCTTCACCATGGGGTGGGTGCTCTTACTCCTCCTATGTTACATAAATGCAAAAGTCAAGTCCTTTACTTACCAGGCTTCTACCCAGGAATCATGACCACTGACACTACTTTATAAAGGAGCTAGAGGCCTAGGGACAATACAGATAATAAGTCTACATTCTAAGACAGTAGGAAAAGTCACTTAAACAAGCTTGCACAAGGAGTCACCATCCCTGGAAAGCCGGTGCTGACTTGGCAGGTTCAACAGGAGGAGGAGGGAAACATGGGGGGGGGGGGGGATTAACCACACAGAGCAGGGGAGTGGAGAAGAAAGGGTTTCGGGTGCAGGAAGGGCCTGAACCAATGCTTTCAGTCTTGAGAACAAACCTGTGTGTGTATGGGGGATGCAGGGAACAGACAAGAGGTGAAGCTGGGGGGCTGAGAGGAGGACCCGTGGGGGATACAGGGAACAGACAAGGGGTGAGGCTGGAGGGGGACCCGTGGGGGGTGCAGGGAACAGACAAGGGGTGAGGCTGGAGGGCTGGGAGGGGACCCGTGGGGGATGCAGGGAACAGACAAGGGGTGAGGCTGGAGGGCTGGGAGGGGGACCCGTGGGGGATGCAGGGAACAGACAAGGGGTGAGGCTGGAGGGCTGGGAGGGGACCCATGGGGGATGCAGGGAACAGACAAGGGGTGAGGCTGGAGGGCTGGGAGGGAACACGACATGAGCCAAGGCAGATTTTACCCTAAAGCCACTGGCAGTCATTGGAAAGACACCACCACCTTCACTGAGGAGCGGGTGGGATGGGCTGTGCAGTCTTTCCTGCACACTCAGATTCCATATTTCTCTTCCACAGGCCATGAGAAAACTCCGGGCAGGGACACTGTTAATGACCTGAGTTCTCTAGGAACAAGATAACACTGGCAGGAGTTAGAGGATACAGAGAGGGAAACTGTAATGGAATCATCCAGGCAAGGAATGACGAGAACCCAAGGCAGTAGCAGTGACAATGGAAAAAAGACAGAGCTGAGAGGCAGGTGGACTGCACAGGACTGATGACTGATGGACTGCTAATCCTATCAAGTCCTTGGAGAGTAAGGGGGAGAAGGGGAGGAGAGCCCAGGGTGACACCTGGGTTTCTGACTTCGGCAATTTGGAGGCCACTAATGAACCAGGCAGTGTTTGGGAGATCGTGCTATGGGGTAATTACTTGCCCCCAAAATTCACATGTCCATGCCTTAAACTCCCAGTGTGGCTATATTTGAGAATGGGGACTTTAAGAAGGTAATTAAGGTTGCATGAAGTCATCAAGGTGGGACCCTTAATCTAACGGGATTGGCATCTTTATAAGAGCATGCCCAGAGGAAAGGCTGTGAGGACACAGGGAGAAGGCAGCTGTAAGCCCACAGAGTCCTCAGTAGAAACCAGTCCTGCTAATACCCTGATCTTGGACTTCCGGTCTCCGGGGCTGCAGGAAGATAAGTGTCTGCTAAGCCACACAGTGCTCTGTTGCACAGCCTTGGGAAACGAATGCAAGTGCTTGGGCCCCTGTCACCCACGTGGGAGACTTGCGTGAAGCTCCTGGTTCCTGTCTGACCCAGCTCTGGTCATTGTGGCCATTTGGGAGTAAGATCTCTGTGTGTCTCTCCTCTCTCTCCCTGTAACTCTACCTTTCAAGTAAATAATTCACTCTTTTAAAGTATACAATTCAGTGGTTTCAAGATATCAAAGAGTTCTGCTCTCTTGTTACATCCATAATAAATGTTAGGACATTTTCATTACTTGCAAAAGAAACCTGTACTCATTAGCAGTCACTCCTCAAGTGAGGGTCCCTCCAGCCAGCCTTGAGCAACCACTAATCAACCACTTGTCTCCTCAGATGTGCCTGCTCTGGGCATTTCACATACGTGGAATCAGAATTATGAAGTCTTTTGTAACTGCTTCTTTCACTTAGCATAATTGTTCAAGGTTCATGTGCTCATCCAGGTCTGTAGTAACTTCACTCACTATTCATTCCCTGTTGGTTGCAGAACACTCCTCCCTTGTATGAAAATCGCACACACAGGTCACTCATCCCGACAACGTTTTGGGAGTGTCCACCTCTTGGCTCTTATGAATAACCCTGCTTTGACCATTCGCATCCATGTTTTGTGTGGTTGTGTTCCCAGTTCTCTGGGATACACAGGCAGGAGTGCAACTGCAAACTTCCTTTGAGGAGCTGTCAGACTCCAGTGCTGTTACACACAGTGGCTGAGAACTAGGTGGAAGAAGCTGAAGAAGAAAGATGAAGAAGTGGAAAGACTAAGAGATTTTTAGGGCACCACCACAAACAACCAGGAAAATAGCAGGGAGTACCGCGCCTAAAGAACACAGTGAAGACGTATAACCAGAAGCCTCTGACCTTCACCCAGAGGCCAGGAAAGCTGGAAATGAGAGGCACGTGAAGCTTCAAACGGAACTGGGCACAAAACATGAGATCCACCCTGCCAGGCTAGAGAAGAGAGAGACACGCCTGAGGCTTATCCAGACGGGTCTCGGAGGACACACGGCAAAGCTGAATAAAGAGGATGGCGAGTGGGGCTCGCCAAGCCAGGACATTGCGTCCCGGAGCAAGGGCAGAGGCCACTTCAAGCTGCGAGTGACCAGCTGTGTCCACTGTCACAGGAAGATCCAGTAAGGTGGGGGCTGCCTGTCAATCTGACTCCAGCTGTGTGTGTTCATATCATTTCTCCCTAAAATGGTGTCTCCCGTGTAATTTCTAAATAACCAAAAAACCCTGGGATGTGTTTACTTCTTAGACTTAGAAATTTCTTGAATTGGGGGCAAGGGGATAACAGTTATACAGTATTATCAAAACTAAGGGGCAGAAATTAAAAACATACACATTGTCTGACAATATGAATATTTCCATCTTTCAGACTCACTTTGGTCATTTAAAAAAGTGTTTATTTATTTATTTATTGAGAGAGAGACGGAGAGTATTTCCATTTGTTGGTTTAGTCCCCCAATGCCCACAACAACCCAGGTGGGGCCAGGGCTGAAGTTGGGAGCTAGAAACTCAATCCAGGTCTCTCATGTGGGTGGCAGGAGCCCAATTACCTGAGCCACCACTGCTGCCTCCCAGGGTCTGCACTGGCAGGAAGCTGCTGTCAGGAGCCCGGACTGGAAGTCTAACCCACGCACTTCAATGTGGGATGCAGGTTTCCTTAACTGTGTCTTAACCAGAAGGCTAAGTGCCCACCCCAACTTTTGCAGTTTTTAAAATAAATTAGCTCGGGAGCTGGCACTGTGGCGCAGCAGGTTAAAGCTCCAGCCTGCAGTGCTGGCATGCCATACGGGCGCCAGTTTGAGTCCTGGCTACTCCACTTCCAATCTAGCTCTTTGCTATGGCCTGGAAAAGCAGCAGAAGATGGCCCAGGACCTTGGGCCCCTGCACTCTCGTGGGAGATCTGGAAGAAGCTCCTGACTCCTAGTTTCAGATCAGCTCAGCTCTGGCTGTTGCGGTCATCTAGGGAGTGAACCAGCAGATGGAAGACCTCTCTCTATAACTCTTTCAAATAAATAAAATAAATCTTTAAAATAAATAAATAAATAAATTCACTTGGATGCATTCAGCAGCTTTTAGATCAGGTCTAACAACAACACCAAGGCCAACCACATGGAAGAAGAATCTCCCACTTGTGAAAACCCTAAGCCAAGCAGAGCGAGTGTGCTACACTGTCGGAAGACCACGGCCACAGTGACCTGTTCATTGTGTGTTCTTTGATCCACACTGAAGCTCTCACAACTTTGGGGCTGCTGAAAGGCTGGTAACTGTGGCAGGAATGGAGTCCTCTGCTTCTTCTTTCTTTCGAACATTTATGTATTTATTTGAAGAGAGGAGGAGAGATCTTCCAACCACTGGTTCTCTCCTCAAATGGCTCTAATAGCTGGGGTAAGTCAGGCAAAAGCCAGGAGTCAGGAACTGTATCCCAGTCTCCCACATGGGTGGCAGGGGCCCAAGTACTGGGGTCATCATCTGCTGGCCCCTGCTTATTTTTAAATGAATGGAGAGGTAATGAAATTTAGTATTCTGAAACTAAATTTTATTTTCCATTTTTCCATGTACAGGCAGTAAGGCAAATTAATGCTCAACAAGAGGAAATTGTTTAAACAAATGTTTAAATCCCAGATGTTCCATTTCCAATCCAGCTCCCTGCTGATGCCCCTGGGAGAGCAGAAGATATCCCAAGTCCTTGGATCCCTGTCCCCACATGGCAGACCCAGGTGGAGTTCCAAGCTCCTGGCTTCAGCCTGGCCCATCTTTGGTCATTGTGGCCATTTGGCGAATGAACTAGCAGATGGGAAAATCTCTCTCTCTGTAACTCTGCCTTTCAAATAAATAAATAAATACTTAAAAAAGAGGTAAGCCTTTCACTGGGAAGGTAGAAGAAAAGTAGTCACATTAAACCTCCTAAAGAAATGCTGTATTTGTATAAACCCTGTATCACATAAGTTTATAATAATTACAAACCTTCCTTATACAAATAATCTTTCATTTATTTTGCAAATCTGACTTATGAATTATCAGATATTCTTAAAGTAGGGAGTCTATCAATTTGAGATTTAAAAAGACAATTTTGAATGGTGAATTTCATTCATATAAAACATTTAAAAATTAATGTAAATGAACATGAAATATGTTACTATGTCTTTAACTATAGACAAAAACAATATTTTTTAACTTTGGGAGACAATGGACCAAATAAACACTGTATGCTAATGAAGAAATTCTATATTTTTGTTCAAATTTAGGTGTCATGTAACTAATGCAAGATGCTTCAAAAAGCTCATGGGAAAAATGGATTAAAAATAAGTTCATTTTAGCACAAAGTCTTTAATATTCTTTTTATCATAATAGACATTTTCCGTGGACTTTCTGAAGCAGCCTTGTATATTTGTGCCCAACTGTAAAACTGAGTTCTTCTGAGGATTTTATTTTAAAGATTTTATTTCATTCAACAGACAGTTACAGATAGAGAGGGAGAGACCAACGGAGAAAGAGAATTTTCCACCTGCTGGTTCACTCCCCAAATGGCCACAACGGCTGGAGCTGGGCTGTTCTGAAGCCAGGAGCCAAGAGCTTCTTCCTGGTCTCCCATGTGGATACAGGGGCCCAAACACTTGAGCCATCTTCCATTTCTTTCCCAGACCATTAACATCGAGCTGGATCAGAAGTGGAGCAGCCAGGACTCAGCAGCGCCCACAGGGATGCCGGTGCCGCAGGTGGTGGTTTTACCCGCTACACCACAGCACTGCCACGAGAACTCTTACAGCATCTGCTTTCTCTAGCTCCCTTTAAATGGGCTCAGGTTGGGTTTTGTTGCTGTTTTTAAATATTATCTGTATTATTTAAAGCATAATTAATTTTAAAATGCTATAGAAAATCCTTTAAAACTAATGGAGTAAATCCTAGAGAAATAAATCTCAGACTACATTTTTATAATATGCATTTTAAAAATATTTATGTACTTATTTTCATTTGAAAGAGAGAGACAGATAGAGATCTTCCATCTATGGGTTCACTCCCCAAATGGCCCAGGGTTGGGCCAGGACAAAGCAGGGAACAGGAAGCTCCATCCAGGCTTCCCATGCGGATGGCAGGGGCCCAAGTACTTGGGCCATCACTTGCTGCCACCCAGACTGCTCATCTGCAGGAAGCTGGAACTGGAAGCAGAGCCAAGAGTTGAAGCCAGGCACTCTGATATGGGATACAGGCATCCCAAATGGCATCTTAACTGCTAAGCCGAATGCCCTGCCTCATTTTACCCATGTTAATTCCCTGCATTTCCATGACACTGTCACCTCCTTCTATGTCACAGAGCCTTAGGAGGTATCATAGAAAATAGTTTTTCCAATGTATCCACCTAAAACTTTACTGAAGGCTGCATCTCTCGGCAGTAAACATAAGCTGCACAGATACCAAAAAGTAAGAAGCTAATTGAATTATATGCGTAGCTCTAAACTACGACGCCCAGTTTACAGCACTGAACAGACATGACACATCACACAATGGAACTGATTCAATCAATATGATTCAGTGTTCACTCATGACACATGGATCACTTTATTGATACACTGAGCCATTCTCGACATACTGAAAAATTAGCCTTAAAAGTAGTCTTATTCCACTCAATGAGGTTATTTGGGTGGTATGCATCCTTTAGAGTGAAGGGTAAATGTAATCTTGTGCCTAACTGTGCTAATTACTTTCTGACAAATACAGACAAATTGTAAGATGAGTAAGAATATGACATGCAGGGGAGGAGTCTGGCCTGGCCATTAAGACACCTGCATCCCATAGTGCCTAGGTTCAAGATCTGGTTCTGCTACAGATTCCATCTTCCTGCTAATGCAGATCCTGGAAGCAGTGGTGATGGTTCAAGTAGTTGGACCCCTGCCACCCATGTGGGAGACCTGCACTGAGTGCCTGGTTCCTAGCTTCGGCCTACTCCAGCCCTGACTGTTGCGACATTTTGGGAGTGAACCAGTAGATGGTCTCTGCGTCTTTCTCTCTCATCTCTCTCTCTAAAAATAAATAAATAAATAAATAATTTTTTAAAAAGAATGTGACATCATTCACATTTACAAACTTGTCATTCTATTTCTAGTATAAATACCCTTCCCCTCTGGACTCAAGAGACACACAACATTCAGTTCATGAAACACCAAGCTAACGCCCACATGACTTCTTTGATAATCAGAGAAATAATTTCTTTCAAAATAAATAATATTTAGTGTCACAAAACAAATGTCAGCTCAATGCCACCAGGTTAGCTACTATCATGGACAGATTTCACTGCATGTTAATACTGCATCAGGAGAGAAATCTACATTTCTCCAGGGCCTGGATTTTTTTCTGTTTAAGCATCCTTACTATTTTTCACATTAACGTATCTGAGGCCTACTTGATTTTAAAAGTTTGCAGAGAGACTGACTGACCCACTCTCAGGCAGCTCTACACTGAGAAACAGGTTCCTACAAGCGTTTTCCCAAAGCAGTCATGGGCTAAATGTAGTCTTGCATCTATAGTTTACTTATTTATTTCCCTATTTTGTTATTTTTAAATGCCAAACTTACATTTCAGTTGCCTACAGGCAGACAGGCAAAAGTTTGTATTTTTTTTTTAACGGCAGGGCCATACTGTAGCTGACAACAATGCAGGGACGACCCAGACTTGGAAATGTGACTGCGTGGTGGTGGCTGGAACTTCCTGTCGGTCTGCAATGAGTGAAGTCTGGATGTGATCAGCAATGAGAGATACACATGGGTGCTAAATAGCTTCTCAGTTACACAGGAAAATTTCTTTGTCACTACTTGGTGCTGAAGATAACTTAGGGCTGTGCTTCAAACAGGGAGGACAGTGGCAGGTAAAGGTCTTGATCAGAACAGCCTGGGTGCGATGCCCACCTGCGTAAAGGAGCAGACACATCATGGAGCTGATGAGTTCCAGGGCCAGCACAGCCAGGATGAGGTCGAGATACAACCTGCTGGGCTCGGGGAAGGAGTGCTGCAGGCACAGTATGAGGAGGAGGACCGTGCTGCCTGGAAAGGAGAAACACAAGACACGGTGTGTCCTGGGAAATGCGTACTTCGTCTTCCTCCAGTAGACGCTTGGTGTCCGTCTGCTCCCCAACACCCAGTGCCTGACACCCTGAAATTTCGCAGGTGGTAAGAGTGGCAGGAGCATGTTTCTGTTGTTAATATTCAGTTTCTGAACTGAGGTCCCAAAACCCTTGGAAATTTCCAAGTGATACAAATGGTTCATGATTCATAACAAGCATGGGAGGTTATGTTAACGAGATTACTTCGAGTGGGGCCCTGGTCACCAGAAAAACTAAGTTATCAGAGGGCTGGAAACCTCAGCCCTACCCACCAACCTCAGGGAAGAAGATGATGCTGGAAATTCAAGTGCTAAGAAAGCTCTTGAACAGAGCGAACCTGCTGGTTCACTCCCCAAATGCCCACAACAGCCAGGGCTGGGCCAGGCCAAAGCTGGGTGTTCAGAACATGATCTGGGTCTCCCATGTGGGTGACAGGGGAGAGCCATTACCTACGGCCTCCCAGGGTATGCCTTAGTAGGAGGCTGGGTTAGTAGTAGAGTTTTTTTGTTTTTGTTTTTTGTTTTTTTGACAGGCAGAGTGGACAGTGAGAGAGAGAGACAGAGAGAAAGGTCTTCCTTTTTGCCGTTGGTTCACCCTCCAATGGCCACCGCGGCCGGCGCGCTGCGGCCGGCGCACCGCGCTGATCCGATGGCAGGAGCCAGGAGCCAGGTGCTTTTCCTGGTCTCCCATGGGGTGCAGGGCCCAAGCACCTGGGCCATCCTCCACTGCACTCCCTGGCCACAGCAGAGAGCTGGCCTGGAAGAGGGGCAACCGGGACAGAATCCGGCGCCCCAACCAGGACTAGAACCCGGTGTGCCGGCGCCGCTAGGCGGAGGATTAGCCTAGTGAGCCGCGGCGCCGGCCAGTAGTAGAGTTTTATAAATAGTATTCCTTCCAGTATTTACCTTCCAGACTAGCTCCCTTAATCTCTGGGGTCCCTCTCTCAGCCCTAGAGAGGAACGCTGCTTCTATGGGCCCACCTGACAGTTTGAAAATGACTGTTTTTCAGTGCAGGGGCAATGGGAGAAGGGGAAAATTCAAATACGCAATTTCTATGTAACTAATATCTGACAGTCCAAAATGTATGTGGGTCTACAAAAGGAGAACAGATAAATCAGGGAAACACTTTTGACTTACGTAAGAGGAAAGTGAGGTCCTTCCCTCCATCTCCACCCCCATCCCAAAATAATTGTTTCCCTCCTGAGAAAACAATGAAAAGGGCCAGGATGAGGTTAGTCCATGTCAGCTAGGCCATCACATGGGAAAACAGAATGGTCACATTTTTTTGCTCAGCTAGAGTTCTATGCTGCCACGGATTTAATTTTTTGTTTTTCCAAATTAAAGACTACAAGAAAACAGAAACAAGATACATAGCTGCCCCCAAACCCTTTGATTTTCTGGGTCCTCACATGAGCAATATAAAACTGATATACTGATTAACAGTCCAGTGGTTTGGAAACTTATAATGACGAAGAGTCACAAGTTTAACAAGAATTGGAAAGTCAGGAAAAAAACCAATGGTCACTCTCTTTGTGCACCCTAACAACACTATTTCCTGACCATCACTTGAGAAACTGGCCATTACTTCAGTCATATACTATAAAAGGTCTTTCAGTAGCTACAGAGGTTTTTGATTTTGTGTTTGTGGTTAGATGATATCTTTAGGCCAAAAGAGAATGCTACAACCACAAGTTGAATATATAAACCAAGCTCATCCTCAGAAGAGGCAGGGAGCCACTGGCCCCCAGGGTCAGGATCTACCTTCTGCTGAGACACGCCCTTTAGCTTACACTGAGAACTTCACTGCGGGGTTGAAGTTGCAGCCTGCCCTTTAAGAAAACGTGTTCAAAGAACACAGAAGAAAAGCAAATTCTGTAGAGCAGGTTTTCTGGGGAAGAAGTCATTCCTACTCTGGATTCAAATTTTCAACGATGCATTCTGAACTCAAATTGAGGAGGATCTTCTAAAAAGGTGGAAACTTTGATACTACATCAAAAATCCCCAAAAAAGTTCAAATTAATTCCATTAAACCTTTACAATGTCTGCAACAAGGGTGAGTTCTCAGGTAGCTGGCAGGAAGCCACATGGGACACCCACATCCCACAGCAGAACGCCTGGGTCAGAATCCCTGCTCCACTCCGTTTCAGCTCCCTGCTGATGTGCACTGGGAGCCAGCAGGTGATGGCTCAAGCAGCTCCGTGCCATTCACGTGGGAGCCCTGGACTGAGTTCCCAGCTGCAGGCTTTGGCCTGGCCGGCCTGGCAACTTCAAGCATTTAGGAGTGAACCAGTGGACAGGAGGCCTCTGTCTGTCTCCCCACCTTTCAAATGAATAAAAGCAAACAGAATGTATAAGAATAAAATAAAATGTCTGCAACAACAAAGAAAAGGAACACTAATGTATTCTAAATCCTCTAGAAGCCTTCTGATTTTGCCTCCATAAATAAAGATCTGTGCATTTTCCCAAGTTTCCATTTTGAAAAATGCATCTCATTACATAACAGTGTCTGCTTCCGAGACTTTCACCATCACCATATCCTACTGGGAAAAAGCAGTGAGTTTTCAGTAAGAAAAAAACAACATAGCCCTCATCCTCAGAAATATGAAAAAACCTGATGATATCCAAAAAGGAGGAAATTTTATATTTCAAACAGGGTTGCATGTATACCATGTTCAGAACAAATCCAGATTTCAAGTGAAAATTAAGACTGCTTATAAAAAAAAACTTCAAGACATTAAGGTGATCCAAATTTTAATAGCCACAACACAAGTTACCTCAGAAAAATAGGAGGATGTATTTGACTACAAAATGAAACCTCGGGGCTGGCACTGTAGCGTGGCAGATTAAGCAATTATCTGTCACACCAGCATCCCACGAGTTCCAGTTCAAGTCCCAGCTGCTCCCCTTCCAATCCAGCTCCCTACTAATGTGCTGGGGAAAGCAGTGGAAGATTACCCAACTGCTTGGATCCCTGCCACCCATCTGGGAAACCTGGATGGTTTTCCTGGCTCCTGGCTCTGGCCTGGCCCAGTCCCAGCCATTATGGCCATTTGAGGAGTGAACCCGTGGATAGAAGATATTTATCTTTTTTAAATATTTATTTATTTATTTGAAAATCAGAGTTACACAGAGAGAGGAGAGGCAGAGAGAGAGAGAGAGAGGGGTCTTCCATCCGCTGGTTCACTCTGATTGGCCGCAACAGCCAGAGTTTTGTGCCGATCCGAAGCCAGGAGCCAGGAGCTTCTTCTGGGTCTCCCACGTGGGTGCAGGGGCCCAAGCACTTGGGCCATCTTCTACTGCTTTCCCAGGCCACAGCAGAGAGCTGGATCAGAAGTGAAGCAGCCGAGACTTGAACCAGCTCCCATATGGAATGCCAGCACTGGAGGCGGTGGCCCTACCTACTATGCCACAGTGCCAGCCCCCCAAAATATAATTTTTTTTTAAAAGAAAAATTGATTTCTGCCTCCTACACCAACAATCCGCAGAGAGGCTGAGAGGCAGCAGGGCTTACCAGTCGAGTGTATCATGAGCGCGAGGCTTTTCAGACGCCTGGTGGAGCGGTAGATCAGGCTGTAACCCCGGCTTCTCACTTTCCGGTGGTGGTACTGGATGTACCGTTCGAGAAGGAGATGCAGAATCCACAGGATGACTTTCCCCAGGATGATGACTGTCTGCACTTTCAGCGGGTTGGTGTAGTTTCCTGGGCACTTGTCCTCATTTGGATTAGGGTAGGAGCAAAGCACACCTGTTAAAAAGGCTAAAACAACAAACACCACCTGGAGGACAGGAAAGCGGCAGGGTTAATGTTCAATACTTGGGATCAGGACGCGATCACCACCACCCCAGCTCATACTTTCACTGTCCTCTTTTGTGGATATTTTAATCACATTTTAAACATTTTTACAAACTTTAAAAACAGATTTTACAAATTTGCAGAAAATCTGGAAAACAAACAAAATCACAAATGAGAAGATAAAAACTACCCCAATCCTACCTGGCAGACCACTTAATGTCAAAGGCAGTTTCCTTTCCACCTGTCTTCAATTAAAAAGAACTTTTAGGGGCCCGTGCCGTGGCGTAGTAGGCTAAGCCTCCGCCTGCAGCACCAGCAGCCCATATAGGCGCTGGTCCCAGTGCATTCTGTTTACTTCATCACAATGAAACCCACATTGAAAACCTACTACAGAGGGCAGGCGCTGTGGTGTAGTAAGGTAATCCTTCGCCTGCGAGGCTGGCACACCACATAGGTGCTCGTTTGTGTCCTGGCTGCTCCTCCTCTGATCCAGCTCTCTGCTGGCAGCCCGGGAAGACAGTGGAAGATGGCCCAAGTGCTTGGGCGCCCAGGTGGGAGACCTAAAAGAAGCTCCTGGCTCCTGGCTTTGGCTGGCCCAGCCGCAACAGTTGCAGCCATTTAGGAAGTGAACCAGCCAACAGAAGACCTCTCTCTCTCTCAACTGATTCTCAAATAAAAAAAAAAATAGATCTTTTTTTAAAAAAAGGTTAATTTAGCATCTCAAAAGTAAATAATAAATATCATGGCTTAAAAGAGTTTATTTCTAAATGGTATTGGCATAAAAACAGACACATAGACCAATGAAACAGAAGAGAATTGAGAAATAAATTCATATAATTACAGACAGATAATTTTTTTAAAAATATCTATTTATTTATTTGAAAGCCAAGAGTTATAGAGAGAGGGAGAGACACAGAGAGATCTTCCATCTACTAGTTCACTCCACAGATGGCTGCAACAGCCAAGGAAGGGCCAGGCCAAAGCCAGGACCCAGGATCCAGGATCCAGGAGCCTCCTCCAGGTCTCCCATGTGGATATGAGGGGCCCTGGCACTTGGGCCATCCTCTGCTGCTTTTCCCAGGCCATCAGCAGGGAGCTGGATTTGAATTGGAGCAGCCAGGGCTCAAGCCAGCATCTATATATGGGATGCTGGCATTGTAGGGCAGCGGCTTCACCCACTGTACCACAAGGCCAGCCCATACAGCCAACTGGATTTTGACAAAGGCAGCTATTACATAAATTGGAGAAAGGAAAATCTCTTCAACAAGTGCTACTTGGAAAGCTGGGTACCCACAAACAGAAGAAAGAAAATGATCCCAACCTCTGACCGCATACCAAACTCAAGTCGAATGGATCAAAGACCCAAATGTAAGGACTGAAACTATGAAACTACCAGAAAAAAACACAAATAAACACTTTCCAGATATCAGTATAGGCAATGTTGTTTTGGGGTAAGATCCCAAAAGCACAGGCAACAAAAGTAAAACTAGACAAATGGGGTTTTATCAATCTAAGATTCTTCTGTACAGCAAAAGAATCAATAGAGTAAAGAAACAAACTATAGATTGTGAGAAAATATTTGCAAACCATGCAACTGACAGAGATTCATTTCCAGAATATTTACATATATATATACACACACACAGACACAAACAAAAGCAAAAAAAAAAAAAACGGCAAAACAAATAATCTTATTACAAAATGAGCAAATGACCCACATACAAATGGCCAATAAGTGTGTGAAAAAATGCTCAACATTACTAATCATCAGTGAAATGCAAATCAAAAACCACAGTGAGATGTCATTCCACCCCAATGAGAACGGCTATAACAGAAACGACAAAAAATTCACAAACACTGGCAAGGGCGTAGAGAAAGGGAACTTTCATACACCGTTGGTGGCAATGTAAATTAGTACAGCCATTATGAAAAACAGGGTGGAAGTTCCTCAAAACACTGAAAACAGATCTACCATATGACCAGCTATCCCACTTCTGGGAAAACTGCTGTGTTACTCACAACAGCCAATATAATGACCCAACTTACATGCCCAAAAACAGAGGAATGGATAAGGAAATATATGTATATATATAATACATAGTATATTTATAATATATGTATTATGTATATATATATATATTACCACATGTTCTTACTTACATGTGGAAGCTGAACAGATCTCACAGAAGTAATGAATAGAATAGTAGTTAGCAGAGACTAGTTTGAGGGTGGGGAGGCAGGGGTGGAGAGAGGACAGGTCATGGGTACATGGGTACAGCTGGATAGGAGGAATAACTTCTAACATTCTACATCCTACTACTGTAGGAGAACTATCATTGACAGGGATCAGCTGAGTATTTTCAAATAGCTAGTATTTTAATCATTCTCTACACGAAAGAAATGGCATATGTGGATATGCCAGTTAGCCTGATCTGATAACCATACATTAAAAACATGTTTTGAAATGCTTCACTGTACTCATAAATACTACAATTACTATGAAAGGATTTCAGAAAATGGAATTAAAAGATAAATTTATTTTGGTGTAAAAAAAAAAACCCTGAAATCTATGCATATGAAGGGTACTCACAAAATTTATGGTAATGTGTATATATTACAAAAATTTTACAAGGATTTCAATTATTTATATTAAATGTTTCACTTAATTCAATTTTCATGAATTTTTGATGTTCTCTCATGTGTTAAATAAACATATATATTAAAATTAAATTTTGGCCGGCGCCGTGGCTCACTAGGCTAATCCTCCGCCTAGCGGCGCCGGCACACCGGGTTCTAGTTCTGGTCGGGGCGCCGGAGTCTGTCCCAGTTGCCCCTCTTCCAGGCCAGCCCTCTGCTGTGGCCCGGGAGTGCAGTGGAGGATGGCCCAGGTGCTTGGGCCCTGCACCCCATGGGAGACCAGGAAAAGCACCTGGCTCCTGGCTCCTGCCATCGGATCAGCGCGGTGCGCGGGCCGCAGCGCGCCGGCCGCAGCGGCCATTGGAGGGTGAACCAACGGCAAAGGAAGACCTTTCTCTCTGTCTCTCTCTCTCTCACTGTCCACTCTGCCTGTCAAAAAAAAAAAAATTTAAATTTTAAAAAAATTTTAAGAATTTTTAGGAGAACAGTATAACCAGTGATTAGATTGACAAAAATTTAAATGATTGTTGCCAACAGACACTCATATTTTGCTAAATGGATTGGGAATTATTTTTGGAAAATAATTTCTAAGTATATTGACCTAGAAATCCTTCTTTAAGGACGTTATTCCTCAAAAGTAAAGGCAGAGGAGCTAGGATCTATAGATATTATAGTCTTTGTATTCGAAACAATTTAAAACTTCTCAAGTATGCATCCATACACAGAAGAAGGTTTCAATAAATGAAGACACATCTGGGCTGGTGTGCTGTAGCTGCTTAAGCTGCTGCTTGTGCTGCCAGCATCCCAAATTGGGGTGCTGGCTCCAGTCCTGGCTGCTGTGCTTCTGATCCACCTGGGAAGGAAGTGGAAGATGGCTCAAGTACGTGGGCTCCTGCCAGGAGATGAGGATGGAGTTCCCGCCTCCCGGATTCCACATGCCTCAGACCTGGCCATCGTAGCCATTTGTAGAGTAAACCAGTGGATGGAAGATCTATTTCTCCCTCCCTCTCTGTCACTCCACCTTTCAAATAAATAAATATCTTTTAAAATTAATTGAGACACATCCATACAAATTGCGAAATATTATGCAGCTATAAAGGAATTAACTAAATCTCTGTGCACTGGTTTGGAGAGACCTCTATGGTACATTAAGATGAAAAGAAACATTTAGAGCAGTGTTTCTCAGAGCCTGGTTTCAGACCAGGAGCACCAGTATCACCTGAGACTCTGTTAGCAATACACATTCTTGAACCTGCCCTAGCCAGCCTGAGCTAGAATCCCTGGGGGTACAGCCCAATCTGTGCTCTCACAAGCTTTCCAGGGGCAGTCTGATGTATGCTGAAGTGTGAAGTTTGGGAAAAAAAAAAAAAAAAAACCATTGTAGAGTAATAAGTACAGTATTACACAAATTTTTGGGAAAAAAATGAGGGGAAACCCTTAGACATGTGCTAATGTCTTTGAAATATTTATAGGAACTTAACAAAAGGCAGTGAAGGAAATGCAAGGAACTGACCTGACCCTATCATTAACTCGGGGAGAAGGGCCCAGGTAGAGAAAAGGGAGATTATGTTTCACCTGTATATACTTTGCTAATGCTCTATTTGGTTTTTTTAAAAGGCTTATTAATTTATTTGAAAGTCAGAGTTACAAGGACAAAGAGGGAGAGACAGAGAGAGATCTTGCATCTGCTGGTTCACTCCCCAAATGGCCATAATGGTTGGGCTGAAGCCAAGCGCCAGGATCCAGGAGCTTCTTCCAGGCCTTCCCTATGGGTGCAGGGGCCCAAGCACTTGGGCCATCCTCTGCTGCTTTCCCAGGCCATTAACAGAGAGCTGGATTGGGAGTGGAGCAGCTGGGATTTGAAAGTATGCCCAAATGCAATGCCTGTTAATGCAGGTGGCAGCTTTATCCAGTATGCCATACGCTGGCCTAAAGTTTCTTTTAAAGTGGTATGTGTGCATTTGTACATACACAATATGTTATGTAAAAAGGAAGAAGAGAAACAGGCCAACATCTAGGTACCACAAGGCCACCACTGCATGTGGCAGCACCGGGAAAGAAGTGCGTCAGCTGAGACCCAGGGATAAGGAAGCCTTGACAAGAGCTGCCACGTCTATAGAAGCCCCACAAGGAGGACGACTCAGTTCTGAATTGCAGGATCTCACAGTGCGCCCCACTGAAGGGGGGCCCTGGCTGCAGGCCAACGTGGAAACACGCCATGCGTGCAGCCCAAGCAGGCGTGCTGCCTCTGCAGACCGACAGGCACACAGGAAGCGGCTGAGCAGCTGCTGGGCCAGTCTGCTGACCTCAACCACCTGTTCACCCGACCCAGGAGCGGCAAGCGTTGCCCTGCTTGATCTGTCACAGTGCAGCACGGAATAACGATAAGTCCTAGTGCTTCTGATCGCAATAAATAAAACGCAGGAAGCCAGTTAGACCTGGAATAGAGCTACCTCCAAGGAGGCCTACAATAAGACCTTTCACATAATGTGTTTTTAAAAGTCCCTAGGCATCTCTAATTTTAGCATCACAGGAACACGAGGCAACACTGCACCTATTGTTCTGCTGCAACTTGAGTTCTCCGTTTAACATTATTTCCTGAGTATAAGTAAACTGATAAATCACTTTGTCAACTTATGGAAACTCATCTACAGCACTTTGGTTTGTATGACTTTAAAAGGATACATGCATATGGTTAAAAAAATAGCACATGGCTGGCGCCGCAGCTCAGTAGGCTAATCCTCCGCCTTGTGGCGCCGGCACACCGGGTTCTAGTCCCGGTTGGGGCGCCGGATTCTGCCCCGGTTGCCCCTCTTCCAGGCCAGCTCTCTGCTGTGGCCAGGGAGTGCAGTGGAGGATGGCCCAAGTGCTTGGGCCCTGCACCCCATGGGAGACCAGGAGAAGCACCTGGCTCCTGCCATCGGATCAGTGCGGTGCGCCGGCTGCGGTGGCCATTGGAGGGTGAACCAACGGCAAAGGAAGACCTTTCTCTCTGTCTCTCTCTCTCACTGTCCACTCTGCCTGTCAAAAAATAAATAAATAAATAAATAATAGCACAAAAAGTAAACAGTAAAATAAGAGGGTGCTTCAAAAAGTTCATGGAAAATAGGTATGTTTAGGGGTGGGAGTTATGGTGCAGCAGAGTAAGCCTCTGCCTGGAACTCCAGGATCGCATATTGGAGTGTCAGTTCGAGTCCTGGCTCCTCTGCTTCCGATCTAGCAGGCAGCAGATAACAGCTCAAGTACATGGGTACCTGCCACCCAGGTGGGAGATCCAGATGGAGTTCCTGGCACAGCCTCAACTGTTGTTGAGGGAATGAACCAGTGGGTGGAAGATTTCTGTCTCTCTGTGTCACTCTTCCTTTCAAATAAATACAAAAGATAGGCTTCTTCTACTGCAAAAAAAAAAATTTTAAATCCATGCATATACGGGGTCTTCAAATAGTCCATGAAAAAATTATGTACCGATTTCAAAGGTTTTTTGCACCAAAATAAATTCATTTTTATGAACTTTTTAAAGTACTTTCGTGTATTAGTATCATTTCCACCAAGGTCTTCAGCCTCTACCGTAGTGGCAACCTACATTAACTAGGTCTGTGAGTGCTTCTGGAATGTTCTGTCATATCCAGGAGTGCATGTACTCACCATCCCTCCCAAAGCCCTTTCAAAAACTGCAAATAGAAACATTCTGCACAAAATGGTAATTTCTCACTCAGTGTAATCATGAGCACTATTCCATATTCACACACACACACACACACACACATCCCTGCTAGTTCTCTTAGCATTGTACAAACTGCCCTCTGACAGCAGGCAGTTTGCACTCTCTTGATAGGACAGACATTTCTATGATCAACAACATCCTTACACACGTGCAAATACATCTACGATAAATTCTTTAGAAAGACGTGAGTAAAAACGTGCACACGTCTTCAACGCTGGTAGCCTGATGCCCTCCTGAAGCACTTAAACATAGTTGAAGAACGTCACCTCTGGGTGGGCCCCTCTCTCCCAGCCAACTTACGTGGATGAACAAGAGAAGATGCGCTATGATGACTGTAGGGAGAGGATGGAACCTGGGTCTAAAATGGGCTTGCAGTGAGTGGTGCGGCAGGAGCTGGGCGTCCAGAAGTGGGTCGTCGTCAACACTCTGCATGATTTCCAAGGAACCCTGGGGTACAAAACATGGAAGGATCACAGAACCACCACTTTCTGATTACACTGCCAAAACCAATCTGCTAAACTATAAAGCTTTTTAAAAATGGTTTTAATTTTAATTTTTAATTGGTTTTTAACAGTTCATGTGGGCTGGCACCTCAGCTCACTAGGCTAACCCTCCGCCTGCGGTGCTGGCACACCGGGTTCTAGTCCCGGTCGGGGCGCCGGATTCTGTCCCGGTTGCCTCTCTTCCAGGCCAGCTCTCTGCTGTGGCCCAGGAGTGCAGTGGAGGATGGCCCAAGTGCTTGGGCCCTGCACCCCATGGGAGACCAGGAGAAGCACCTGGCTCCTGCCATTGGATCAGCGCTGTGCGCCAGCCGCAGCGCGCTGGCCATGGCGGCCATTGGAGGGTGAACCAACAGCGAAAGGAAGACCTTTCTCTCTGTCTCTCTCTCTCACCGTCCACTCTGCCTGTCAAAAAAAAAAAAAAAGTTCATGTGATTTGTAGATACAATTCTAAGAACATAATGATATTCCTTTCCTCCCTTCATTTAAAACTAAAAAGTTAGATGCAGAAGAACCCTAATCCCTACCTAAAGCCAATTAAAAAAAAAAAAAACCCTCCTTATATAAATACTATATCAAACTGGGTGAAAACAAGAAGAGTGAAAAATCTGTAAAATAAATTTTAATTCAATTATTTCTACATCTCACAAAGAAGGTAATACAAAAGGAGATTTAGGCAAATCATTCCCTTCAAGCTCCCAAAACTTAGATATTGATTTATTTAACATTATTCATAGCACTGAAGTCATTGCATATGATTTAATTTTTTTCAAATAAACTTTTAAAATTATTTCTTTGGGAGGGAGGGAAAGAGAGAGCGAGCAAGAGAGGCATAAAGAGAGATACAGCTCTGTTTCCCCCAAATGTCTGCAAAGGCCAGGACCGGACAAGGCCAAAGCTGGAGCCAGGAGCTCACATCAGTTCTCCCACACGGTGATGCAGCCATCACTGATGCCTCCCAGCATCTGCACCAGCAGGCAGCTGGAGTCGGGACCAGGGCTGGGGTCTGACCCCAGATACCCTGACATGGCAGGAGGGTACCCTAACTAGCATGTGAAGTGCTACGCCAAATTCCTGCTCCATAAATAAACTGTATTGAATATATTTAGAGTACACAACAAGATGTTTGGGGATATGTATACAAGGACATTTCCAAAAGCTCACGGAAAAACACAACTGGAAGGTAAGCTCATGTTGGTACCAAAATTTTCTTTGAAATCCGTGCATAGTTTTTTCATATGTGTTTTTCCTATGTGTTTTTCATGAACTTTTTAAAAAAGTTTACTTATTTTTATTTATTTGAAAGGTATAGCAAGAGAGAGGGGTAGAGACATCAATCTTCCATCCACTGGTTCACCTCCCAAATACCTGTGATAACTCCACCTCTTTACTACAGTACAGCAGGTTAACATATCCATCATATCATTTCTTTTTTTAAAGATTTATTTATTTACTTGAAAGGCAGAGCTATAGAGAGACAGAGGCAGAGACAGAGAGAGAGGTCTTCCATCTGCTGGTTCACTTCCCAAATGGCTGAAACGGCCAGAGCTGAGCCAATCTGAAGCCAGGAGCCAGGAGCTTCTTCCAGGTCTCCCACGTGGGTGCAGGGGCCCGAGGGCTTGGGCCATCCTCCACTGCTTTTCCAGGCCATAGCAGAGACCTGCATATCCATCATTCCACTTAGCGACTTTGCTTTTTTATGGAAAAAGCAGCTAAGATTTACTCATTTAACATGTACATATACAGTGCAATTGTATACCTATAGTCTTCATGTTGTACATCACATCTGTAGCCACGTCCACGCTATAGATCTGCATTTATTTATTTCAAAGACAGATAGAGATAGAGAGGGAGAGAGACAGAGACAGATCTCCCTTCATCTGGTTCACAATCCAAATGCTGTAATAGCCAGGGCTGGATCGGGTCAAAGCCAGAAGCCAGATACTCAAGCCGGGCCTCCCACATGGGTAGTAGGGATCCAGCTACTTGAACCATGGACTGCTGCCTCTCAAGGTTTGAATTAACGGGAAGCTGGAATGAAGAGTGGAGCTAGCACTTGAACCCAGGCACTCCAATATGTGATGCAGGCTTCCCAAGCCACACAGGGATACCCAATGCCTGCCTCCTATTTGCTACTTTGTGTCCTCTGACCCACATCTCCCACTACCTAACCTCCACCCCACCACTGGTACAATTAAGCTGTCTCTGGTGTTACACAATATTTTGCAAAGCTGATGGAAGCTTTATTAAGGTTGTTTTAAAAAAAAACAACAACTTTTACTCGTGCTAGAAATACATTTTATAAAGGGAACAGAACCCTTCTCGGCCTTTTAGGGAACAGAGTGCCCTGATGGACCCTCGAGGGGACTTCAGTTTGCAGCCATCGGATAACCACATCTCCTGCTGCAGGCCCAGGTCTGGGGTGGGCGCCTCGATTTCCAATCTCGAGCTGCTCTGCAGCTTTCTCTTTTGTTTCCCTGTTCCTCCGTTCTGGCCATGCTGCAATTCTTTACTCATCGCCCAGACAGCTTCCTGTTTAGTTTGCATAACTCACGGTACAAATCTGCTTATTTCTGTTGTCGGTATTCCTCTACCCTGGTATCAGCAGATGTCTAAGCCCAGGCAGCTCTTCCCCTAGCTGATGTCTGTGCCTCCCACCCTGCCCAGATGGGGTGACTGACTCCAGGTAGCTTTCTGGAAAACCAGATCTGGTCACGCCACCTCCCATGGCTCCCAGAGCTCATCTCTTCTGTCTCAAGTCCTGTGATGGTCTCTCTGTTGATCTGTCTTCCCCACTAGACCACCAACTCCCTACCTTGTCTGTACCATCCTAGAGCCCGACAGGGTCTCACACTGTCACTTGGCAAACATGCCGTGGACGAATGAAGGAATGCCCCAACCCTGTCTTTACAAAGTTCCCTAATCCAGTTGCAGACATCATCCAAGAGCTCTATGAATCGGAAAAGGTTATCAGGAGCTGCAGGACAAACTCTGACCAGAGGCAGCGAAGGCAGATTTCTAAGACAACCTGCCGGGTGCAAATACTTAGTGAGGTGGCCTGCGGCTTCAGAGCAAGTTACTTGCTTCCCTGTGCCTCAGCTTTCTCAACTGAAAAAAGGAGACTAATAATAGCATCTGCTTCGCAGCTTCGCTGGGAAGATTAAAGGAGTTAGTTACCCCACATCAAAGTGCCTGACGGAGTGAGCAACCTCTTTTAATTCTACCGTTTCCCTTGCTTCCCAAGTTAACGACTTCCAAAGCTGCCCTCTGCTCTGTATTCCCAGCATTTTCCAAGGCCTCTGCGAGCGCCTCCTCGTGTTCTGGCCTTGGGGCCCTCTCAGTGCTGAGATGAACATTCACGTCTCTCTCCTCCACCTCTTCTCTCCATCACCTCTACTCATCGTTCCCCACTTGGCAAATGCTTCTGTTACAGCAAAAAACGGTCACCTCCTGTGATGCCTGCTTAGCTTCCTGCGGTCCTGTTCTACTGCCCCGTTTTCATCTCTACAGGTTTAAGCTGAGTCTACTTCATATCTACCATGTCTCTACATTTTTGATCACTTTGACAACAGGTATAATATTTTGTACTGGCCTTGCTTGCTCTCTCTCTCTTTTTTTTTTTTTTTTTTTTTTTTTTTTTGGACAGGCAGAGTGGACAGTGGGAGAGAGAGAAAGGTCTTCCTTTTTGCCATTGGTTCACCCTCCAATGGCTGCTGCGGCCGGCGCACCGCGCTGATCCAATGGCAGGAGCCAGGTGCTTCTCCTGGTCTCCCATGGGGTGCAGGGCCCAAGCACCTGGACCATCCTCCACTGCCTTCCCTGGCCACAGCAGAGAGCTGGGCTGGAAGAGGGGCAACCGGGACAGAGTCCGGCGCCCCGACCGGGACTAGAACCCGGTGTGCCGGCGCCGCAAGGCGGAGGATTAGCCTATTGAGCCGCGGCACCAGCCGCTATTTCTTACATGTATCAATTCTGGTCAGTTTCAATGGACTTAGTTTAGTTACTTGGAAACAGTTTGATCTCTTGCCTTTCACGCAGCCAGGGTTAGTCCGGGGTTAATTATTGGCCACTGTTGAGGCGAGACCTTTGTGAGCACTCTGCCCAGAAGTCCTGTGAGTCTTGCGGCTCCCAGTCTGGCTGGGGGGTGAAGGCACTGTCCCTGGCCCTGCAGGAAGGACCGTTCTCTCTAATCGTCTTCCATGACTCTTCCAAGGCCTCCGGGAGTCTCCTCCTCCTCTCATCAGGACTCCTAACACCCGGGCTCGGTGCCCTCAGCTCTTCAGAGCTCTCCGCTCTCTGTCCTGAGAACTCTCCTCTCCTTGAGCTCCCAGACGCTCAGCTCCATCTTCTCAACTCGGAGGGTCTATCAGACTTTGCCTCCGTTCTCTCTTCCTCGTCACAGCTGACCAGCGTTCTCAAGGTGGGTGCAGCTCACATCACTTGCTTCTTATCTCTGAGGTCCCAGTTCCTCACTGCCTGATGCCAGTACCTCAAAAAGCGTGGGTCATCTGTTTTATCTGGTTTCTGGTGGTTTCTGGCACAAGGGTAGATCTGGTCCCTGGTCCCTGGTCCTTCACCTTGGATGGGAACAGAAGTACCCACTGCATCCTTGTACATCTCAATCACAACTTCAGTACTAAGCACTGGCTGGCACCTTTACCACCTGACACACTGCAGGAGTCCAGTATGCGTGCTGACTGAATAAAAGATTGCCCAACTTCTCGACTACTTGGGATCAGAGAAATTTAAACAAAGCCAACATTGAGATCTCAACTGCAGGACAGTAATCAACTTCTATGCACCAGCACACAGCCTTCACCCATACAGGCTTCCTATAGTGCCCCATAAATCTTCCACTTTCTTTTATCTTTCTTAGAATTCAATTAATTGTTCACAGTCTAGTTCTCCACAAAAATCTGTCCTAAAGTATTTCTTTTCTCTGCTTTAAACTACTGTAAAACACAGTACTCATAATATTCGTTAGCAGTATTTCTTATGCTGCCTTGTATTGCTTTCTTCTTTATGTGTATATCTTGATTCTCCTGAAGCAGTTAGGACCTGTAATGATTGGATTGTGTATCAAATACTCACACACTGACTGTCCAGCGGCTCCAACAGGAAGTATGAAGCAGGACCATACTCCCAGGACCAATCATTCTGTGAACCCACTATGTGCAAGGGAAAGAGGAGGGGACAAGGATTCCTGAAATCAAATATTTCTTCATGGCCAGTATTAACAATTCCATTACCACCTGTAAAGGACATCTCTTGTTCCTGTCCACTGTGTACCTTTGCCTTAAGTCTTAGTGGGAACATCTTCAGGACTCTTCACCCTCTGCAGGCCCGGGGGTGGTCATGGAGCAAACAGCAGCTGGGTCAATCCAACTCTTTCTGGGCAGCAAAGTCTACGGTTGTTGCACATTTATTCTGCGGCAGGCCCTAAAAGAACTCCTGTAACTTAGACCCCTTGAGCTGACTATGGTTCATTTCAGAGACCCTGCTGGTCATTCACCCTATATCTTTCCAAATAAATCCCTGTCTTAAATTAGCCATAGGTGGTTTCACTGTTTGCAAACAATAAACCCTAACTAACCTACAGTCTTTCCATTTTCTCAATTGAAAATAAATAATTACCAAAAAGAGTGACTTAGAGCTAAAGAGATATAGTTACATAACTGTTGGTGAAACAATTGCTAGGTGAAATGGAGATTGGTAGGTCTGTACTCATCCTGAAACCGAAAGTCACAGACCCAAGATCTCTGGAGCAGCCAGCACCCAACCAAGATGCATTTAATGTGTTTTTCTAAGACTCATTTTCCTCTTAGATATCCAATTTTTCCATAAATTGTCAGTTCATTAATCTCATCCTGAAGAATTCATAAACAGGGGCAGGCACTGGGCACCACACTTAAAGTCACTGCTTAGGATACCCACATCCCATATTTTTAGAGTGCCTGTTTTCTCTGCTTCTGATTCAGTTTCCTGCTAGTGGGCCTGGAAACCACCCCTGTGGGAGAGCAGGATAAAGTTCTGGCTTCATCCTGGCCTAGACTTGGCTCTTGTGGCCATTTGGAGAGTTAACCAGGATATGGAAGATTCCCCCTCTCTCTCTCTCTCTCTCTCTCTCTCTCTCTCTTGCTGTGCCTTTCAAATAAATAAATAAATCTTAAAAAAAAAAAATCACATCCCTAGACGTTTACAAAAAGTGGTGGCCATTTAGCACTACGGTTAAGCAGCTGCTTGGGCACCTGCATCCCACACAGGAGTGCCTGGTTCCAGTCCTGGCTCCTAAGCTTCTGATTCAGTTTCCTGCAAATGCACATCCTAGGAGAGCAGGTGATGGCTCAGTACTTGCGGTCCTCCCACACGTGTGGGGGACCCAGCTGTGAGAGACCCAGCTCTGGGGTCCTGGCTTTGGCCTGGCCCATCCTTGGTTGCTATAAGCATTTGAAAAGTGAACCAGCAGTTGAAAGATCTTTCTCTGCCTCTCTCTCTCTGAATCTCTGCCTTTCAAATAAAAGTGAAAAATAACATTTTTTAAAAATTCACCAGGGATTCTGCTTTAACTACAAGTCTCCAATCTACTTTCAGGTTTTACCATTAGCTTTCTGTTTTCTCAGCTAGAAAAGAACTAAAATTTTTAGTCATATCATTAGGAATTGGTCTCTATTTTGTCAAGATGATTTAACTATGGTCACTATTTGTACTACAACCTAAGGTCTTGCAGCACTGGAACCAGGGTTCCCATGTCTTTCGCCTTTCCCAATGTGCTCCATTCAGTGAAAGGATCATAGCAATATTCCTATTTGTTTATTAACCCAAGCAAGCGCTTTAATGTACCTGCCATCTTTGCGTTCCGAAGAGAGCAAGCATTTCATTATGTGTAATGGGCAACCCAGTTAATAATTATAAACAGTCTTCGTATAAACTCAGGCAAGTAAGACTTCTGCAATTTTGCACTATACGCACAGGGATTTTACGTCCTCTGCCTTGGATCGAAGATTTGAGACCCTTCTCATGCTACCATGCTTACATAGAAAAACAGCACGTGACACTGTTTTCCTCCAATGGGGGTTTCCGGGCTATGACAGCGACAGGTCCAGGGCTGCCCACGGGACGCCGCGACCTGCCGCAGCCTGTTCAGGGGCCCTGCCGGCGGGGACCCGGGCCCCTCTGCGTGCCCAGGGGGACAGCGCGGCGCCCAGACACGCGCGGGGACGCAGGGCGCCCGGGCCAGACGCGCGTCACGTGAAGCGCGCAGTTCCGGGGCCACGGACGCGCGCCGCACGTGGGCTGCGCGCCAGCCTGGGGCGGCCGCCCCCCGAAGCCCACCCGGCCTCCCGCGGGAGAAGCCGGCAGCCTGCAGCACTCGGCCTCCAGGGCCGCCCGCAACCAGCCCCGCGCCCTGGGCCGCGCCGCACCCCCAGTCTCCGCCCCTCGCGCCCCAGCACAGGAAGAACGGGATTCCGGAGGCAGCGCCCACCACCTCCCCTTCCGCGCACTCACGTCCTCCGTCCGGGCCCCCGCTGCCATCTCCCGACGCCCGAGACCGGAGCCCGGGCCAGCCCGGCCTGCCCACCTGCGCCCGGCCGCCGCCGGCCCAGGACGAGTCTCCACCTTCAGGGACCGGCGGGCCCTCCCCGCGGACACGCCCCCTTCTCCGCCCGCCCCGCCCCTCAGGCCCGGGCCCCGCCTCCCCTCGCTCCCGATTGGCCGGGGCGGAAGGAGGGGCGGGCCTCGCCCAAGCCCCGGGCTCTGAGCGGCGCCCGGAGAGCGCGGGCTCCCGCTTCGCGCCGCCGCGTCTCTGTCAGCTCTCGGCCGCGCTCGGGCGTGCTTGCGTGGCTGGTCCGCCAGTTGAACCCTTTGCGGTAAGGTGTTTGCTCTGTGCTGAGGGAGACCCCGTGGTAAAATCCCACCCCACCCGGAGAGGGACGGAACAAACCTGATTTACCTGGCGTCTGAGTGGTTTAACTTCACCAGCGTCCTACACAGGGTCACACCACGATCGGTGTGCGGAATAGGCACCGTGGGAAACAAATTTTTGGATTTTTTTGCTCCTTTGTTAAAGGAATTAACAGAGAAGGCTGGGGAATTATCTGATAATACATTATAATTAAAATGTAGTCAGAAAAGGAAAGTGAAATTTTCTGTCAGTGCCACCCCTCCCCCCACAACCGGATGAATGCTTATTTGCATATGGCGTGTACTGGGGTCCTGTTTGCAAGGCTGGGGAAACATGAAAACACGTAAAACATTACGTGGTGAAACCACGCAAATGTCAGCAAAGGCAAGGACGGTGTCGGACTCCACGTGGTCCGAAGGTGTCTCAGTCCCGAGATTCTGTGAATTTTTTCTCAAGTTTCTAGATACGCATTTCCCCTCCATATTTGGAAAATTGTCAAGGCTATAGCAATGCTGAAATACTAGTACCCTGAAATCCGTGGATGTGCCCCTTATGTGAATTTATCAGTTGTTAATATCATACCAAAACTGCTGTGTGTGTGTGTAACTGAACCATGTAAACGTTGAGGACAATATGAAACGCTATACTCCGTTGCCTAAAAGTAAGGATAGTTCCTTCATCAAGACAATCATTACACACCTAAGAAAACTCATAATACTATGTTTACTACCATCATAGCATAGTATTATAATTGTATGTTTACTAACTACTCTAGGCCAATGTTTTTCAAACTGTCCCTGTAGCGATACTATCTCTTCCCATGATCACAGCTGAAAGTCCTCTAGCAAAAGACAGGTTAGCTAAAGGAAAGGATGACAAACAAAAATTTTTTTAAAGATTTATTTATTTGAAAGGCAGAGATACAGAGAAAAGAGAGAAGGCAGGGAGAGAATCTTCCATCTACTGGTTCACTTCCCAAATGGGTCAAACTACTGGGGCTGGGCCAGGCCAAAGCCAGGAGCCAGGAGCTTCTTTTGGGTCTCCCATGTGGATGCAGGGGCCCAAATACTTGGGCTCCCCTCTGCTACTCTCCCGGGGCCATAGCAGAGAACAGGATCCCAAGTGGAGCAGCCAGGACTCGAACTGGCACCCATATGGGATGCCGGCACTGCAAGCGGAGGTTTAACTTGGTGCAACACAGCGCCAATCCCCCAAGCTTAACATTTCAATATAAGTTTTACAGGACACAGAAGCCTCCAGAAATGAGGAATCAAGCACACAGAGCAAAGGGTTCTAGAATGAACAGCCTGTAGAACTATTGGACAGAAGAGTATGATCTACTGGAAACAGACTGAGGAGGCAGCTGGGCCTGTCTGCTCTGATTCTTGGCCTCTCTGCAACATTCCTTCCTTCCCCGTGGGGGACAGAATCCTTTCTGGAGTGGGGATGTTATGACCAGCTAGGTCAGACAATTCCTTATGTCCAGCTCTTACACAGAAAGGGAGTTTTGCATTATGTATTCTGAGGTCTATGGCTGGATTTGGGGGAAAGTAGTTCTTTAATGCCTTGGGAGAGGAATTCTGGTTTCCATGCTTGCCTGGAGTGAGAATGAAGTGCCTGAGAAAGGCAGACAGGAGGCCAGCGCCGCGGCTCACCAGGCTAATCCTCCGCCTGTGGCGCCGGCACCCTGGGTTTTTTTGTTTGTTTGTTTTTTGTTTTTTTTTTTTTTTTGTTTGTTTGTTTGTTTGTTTTTTGACAGGCAGAGTGGACAGTGAGAGAGAGAGACAGAGAGAAAGGTCTTCCTTTCGCCGTTGGTTCACCCTCCAATGGCTGCCATAGCCAGCACGCTGCGGCCGGCGCACCGTGCTGATCCGAAGCCAGGAGCCAGGTGCTTCTCCTGGTCTCCCATGGGGTGCAGGGCCCAAGCACTTGGGCCATCCTCCACTGCACTCCCGGGCCACAGCAGAGAGCTGGCCTGGAAGAGGGGCAACCGGGACAGAATCCGGCATCCCGACGGGGACTAGAACCCGATGTGCCAGCGCCGCAGGCGTGATGATAGCCTAGTGAAATCCACCACAGTAACTCCAGCTTCTAGTCTGGTGGGGCACCGGATTCTGTCCCGGTGCCCTCTTCCAGGCCAGCTCTCTGCTGTGGCCCAGGAAGGCAGTGGAGGATGGCCCAAGTGCTTGGGCCCTGCACCCGCATGGGAGACCAGGAGGAAGCTCCTGGCTTCAGATCAGCACAGTACCTGCTGTAGCAGCGGTTTGGGGGGTGAACCAACGGAAAGAAGACCTTTCTCTCTCTCTCTCTCTCTCTCTCTCTAATTCTACCTGTCAAATAAATAAATAAAATCTTTAAAAAAATGTTAAAATATTGTGTTAGTGACAGGTGTTTGGTGCCGTGGTTAAGCCATCACTTTCAAAGCCAGCATCCCACATTGGAGTGCCCAGGTTTAAGTTTTAGCTCTGCTCCCATTCCAGTCTTCTGCGTATATGCACCCTGGGAAGCAGTGGTGATAGCTCAAGTATTTAGGTCCCTGCCACCCAGGTGGGAGACCCAGATGAGTTCGCAGGTCCTGGCTTTGACCTGGCCCATCCCTGACTGTGGTGGTGTTTGGGAAGTGAAGAGCAGATGGGACATCTCACTCTCTTTGTCTCTTTGCCTTTCAAATAATGAAAGTCTTTAAAATATTATGTCATTCAAATAGCTCAGCACAGCACATGTTTTTTTCTAGAGATTGAAAAGTATCAAAATAAAGGAAGGTTGGAGGAAAAAGATGGTGAACTTTGTATGCTAAAGGGAGTGTTCTCACTTTCATAGTAATAATCTGTGTTTAGCCAGCATAAACCAGAAGGGGGCAGTGGTGTCAGGAAATAGAATTCTGAACTGGGCACGGCTTCATGGGATGGGAGAGGATGTGTGAGTTTGTCAGGCTAAGAGGTATGGTTCAGGAGGAGACCTTGACTTCCAGGATATAGAGTGAGGAGAAAAGGATGCCCTCTGGAAGGTCAGGGTGACTCTTTAGAAGGAAGAAGGGGAACATGAACCGTCTGGTCCTAGGAGGTTGTTTAGGCCTAGCCACACCAGAATAGATACTCTTTCATGTTTAGTTTATCCATGTCAAAAGTTAGAAATAAAGGGAAATCTGTAATTGTTACTGAGAGTCATTGATATGAATTCTCAGGAAATATAAGCAGAAACAACAGGTTAGGTGCATAAGTAGAGTTCTGTGGAACTTTGTCCCATATGCACCCTCCCTAAGAGTATTTTTATTTTTTTAAAGACTTTATTTCTTTGTGGCCAGTAGCAGGTAAAGCTGCCACCTGCAGTGCCAGCACCCCATATGGGTGCCGGTTCGAGACCCAGCTGTTCCACTTCCGATCCAGCTCTCTGCTATGACCTGGGAAAGCAGTGGAAGATGGCCCAAGTCCTTAGGCTCCTGCACCCACATGGGAGACCAGGAAGAAGCTCCTGGCTCTGGATCGGCGCAGCTCCAGCCGTCGCAGCCATCTGGGGAGTGAACCAGTGGATGGAAGACCTCTCTCTCTCTCTGCCTCTCCTTCTCTCTCTGTGTAACTGACTTTCAAATAAAATAAATAAAAGAGCACCGGCCCCAACCTCAGAGTATTTTTAAGGCACTTCAGGCACAGATGATATATATGGGGAATTAATACCTAGTCACCATCAGAGAGCATTAAAATCTTAGTTCATATAAAAAGATTTAAATAGACATAACTCTGTAAGGAAATTTTACATATGAAAGTGTCTCCCAGGCTGATGTTGTAGCATCCCATATGGGTGCTGGTTTGTGTCCCAGCTGCTCCACTTATGATCCAGCTCTCTGCTGTGGCCTGGGAAAGCAGAAGATGGCTCAAGTGCTTGGGCCCCTGCACCCACGTGGGAGACCCAGATGAAGCTTCTGGGTCCTGGCTTTGGCTTGATTTAGCCCTACCTGTTGTGGCCACTGTGGAGTGAACTAGCAGATGGAAGATCTCTCTCTCTCTCTCTTTCTGTCTCTGTAACTCTGACTTTCAAATAAATAAATAAATAAATCTTTTTTTAAAAAAAGTGTATCCTACTTCATTTTTTCATGAATGACGCCTTGTGAAGATTCCTCATTTGTTTAACTCGGAGAGATGCAGACCTGAGGGTGGACTGGTGACTGTCGAGGCCTAAGTCAGCCAGGAAACTGTTGTGTGCTGTGAAGACGCCCTACAGTCACTTCCCCAGCGAACATGACTTCTCATCACGCTCTGGGACCCAGGAACTCTACCTTAGGAAGGAGTAAGCTTTTCAGGAAAAGTAATTCACAACTCCATTATTTACCTCTCGATGCAAACAAACAACACTGAGCATGAGAATGTGAATAACCAAGACTGTGGCTATCACCAGGTATTCCTCGGGATTTTTTATGTGATTAACAATTACACATAAAGCTGTCTTGCTGAAATCTTGACTCAAAGTACATATCCACCCTGTAAGAGAAGCAGAAAACCTGCAACCAAACAGAAGCTTGGGAAGCAGCCAGTTCAGACTGCTTCTAAATCCCATATAGGCGCCGGTTCGAGACCCGGCTGCTCCACTTCCTATCCAGCTGAATAACATTTAACTTTGATTTTCCAGAGTTGGATTATTTCAGTTAACGGTAAGAAAAGAAGTAGAGAATCTGTATTTCTTTTTTCTAAAATCTTATTTTTTAAAAAATTTTTAAATATTTATTTGAAAGTCAGAGTTATAGAGAGACAGTGGGGAAACAGAGAGAGGGAGGGAGGGAGAGGGAGAGGGAATCTTCCAGCCACTAATTCATTCCCTTAAATGTCCACAACAGCCAAGGCTGGGCCAGGCCAATGCCAGGAGCCTGGAACTCCATCTAGGTCTTCACGTGGGTTTCAGGGGCCAAGCACTTAGATCATCTTCTACTGCTGTCCCAAGAGCATGACTAGGGAGCTGAATCAGAAGTGGAGCAGCCGGGACTCAAGCAGGTGATCACATGGGATGCTGGCATCATAGGTGGTGGCTTACCAACTGCCCCACAAAGCTGGCCCTGTCAATTCCTTTTTAGGTCTGTGGTGCACCTGAAGTGTAAGATACTAAGCAAAATATTTTACCTCACATTTTGGCATCTGAATAAAAGAGGCAGTGGCTGATGCTGTGGTACAGAGGGTTAAAGCCATGGCCTGCAGGCCAGCATCCCATATGGGCACCAGTTCGAATCCTGGCTGCTCCACTTCTGATCCAGCCTGGGAAGCAGCTAATGATGGCTCAAGCACCTGGGTCCTTGCCAGCTATGTGGGAGGCCTGGATGGAATTCCTGGTTCTTGGCTTCAGCTTGGCCCAGACCTGGCTGTTGTGGCATCTGGGGACTGAATCAAAGGATGGAAGATCTCTCACTTGCTCTCTCAGTTGCTGAATGAATAAAAATAAAAAATTAAAAAAAAAAAAAACTTTAAAAATTAACAAACCAAAGCCAAAGCTTCCTGAGGTAATAAAAGATATAAGCTGACTGAATATGCATGAAGCCAAGAGAGACATTTCTTTGCGTTTCAGGAGAGAAAAGGGGAGGAGAGGGAAAAGGCTGACCCCCTTGTAAGACAGAAGGCCCTGTGTTCTTGCCCAGGTACTCTGATTATGCCACAGACTCCACAACCCCCTGGTTTCAGTTGGATTCCCATAGAAATCGGTGAGGGGAGAAGGGCAGGAGATCCCGGCTAAGGACACCTGTTCTGAAATCCTCCGCAGAAGGCAGAGCTGCCCGCTCTGTCCCTGACCTGTGGGAGGGTGCAGGGGTGCTGACAGCAATGAGCAACAAACCCACTCACTGCTCTAGCCCCTGGCTTCTCAGCCTGCTTGCCTATAGGTTCCTTAACTACAGTATTGGCGAAAGGACAGGCCCTCAGATTACACAGCTAAAGCAGAGAATTGAAGTGTGAGACAGGTGTGAGAATTTGCTTCCCATCTTGGGGAGAAATAAATCGAAGCGTCCTTATGTGGTTTGCCAAAACAACATCCTGAACTGTGCACCGGTGCCATGAACTTCCGCCAAGGGAAAACATCTCATCAGAGTGATTGAGCAAAGTGCTTCTCGCCTGCTAGGATGATGCTGAACTTAATCAAAACGCGTTTATTAAGTACTTAATTACATGCCGTGCTACATGGAGGCCTGCAGAGAATTGTGTGCACCTGGTCCCCTCTCCTGCAGATTACAAGACAGTGGGAAGGGGTAGCGGGTAGACAGGAAGGGAGCTAAATCATTTCATGAGTTCCTCGTCTGTGCCAACCCCATATAGGGTAAAGAATTTAATCTTAGGAGATAATTGTTATTTTGTCCATTTTATAGATAGGGAAAGTGGGACTCAGAGCAGTAAGTTGTAGAACTGGAGTTTAAGGTGAGTTTTTGGATATGAAGACTTGTTCACTGCCTCTGAGAGTGTGCTAAAAATAAAAGGACTCTTTGAGACAATATGACAACTCCCAAGCATTCAGAGACGGAAGGCAGAGATGTATATACCATACTGTTTGGGATGAAAGAAAGTATGTCCTACAAAAGACTGAAAAAGACTCTTTCTTTTTTATATTTATTTATTTATTTGAAAGAGTTAGAGTGAGAAGGAAAGAGAGAGAGAGAGAGAGAGAGAGAGATCTTCCATCTGCTGGTTCACTCCCCAAATGGCTGCAATGATCAGGGCTAGGCCAGGCCGAAGCCAGTAGCTGCTTCTTCTGGGTTTCCTACATGGTGCAGAGGCCCAAGGACTTGGGTCATCTTCAGCTGACTTCCCAGGCACATTACAGGGAGCTGGATCAGAAATGGAGCAACAGAACACAATCTAGCATTCTGATATGGGATGCTGGTGTCCCCAAATATGTCCACCTGCTATGCCACAAGGCCAAACTTGAGACAGCTTCTGATACTCTATCCTTACCCCATGAAGCTTATCAAAATATTTTCTTCCAACCAAACTCAGAGAAGAAATTGGTATGAAATTGGCTCCACCTCATCAGTCTTTCCTCCTCCTGTCCTCCACACCATGTCCCTTACGCCGGCCTGGTGGCTGCTCCTTAGGAGCAGCCAGCGAGGTCAGTGCAGCTTGTGCTCACTGCAAACCATCAGGAAACGTTAAGGAACCTCAAGGGTGCCCCCTAGTAATCTAAACAAGGTAATTGAAGATTCCCCGCAAACATGCTTGCATTTAGAGGTGCAGTTGTCATCCTGCCCACTGAGCGGCGCTGCTTCTCTGTTAGTAAGAAGGAGGTGGCCCACTCGGATCAAGGGTCTTCTGTTCTCTTCCAAAGGAGACCTCCATGGAGCGTTTCTGGCTAACTCTTGAAGACAGAGGTTCGTGTTCCCTTCTGTGCCATGTTTGAAGAGGCTTTTAATGACTCCCGAAGAAGTAAAGTGAGTGATTATTTGAATAGCACTGAGTATGTGTCAGGCGTTGGGCTAGGAAGCTGATAAACCGAAATATCCAGAGAAAGAGCTTAGAAAGGGAAGACTTAACTGCCTCAGGGGTCATCCTCATCGCGATCTGCAGCAGACACATCATCACCGGATACCCTCCTCCTTGTGCAGGGCAAAAGCACACAGCCAGTCGGCATAACCAGAACGCTTTAGCTGCAAGGTTGAGGAAGGACATTAAGGTGCCTTTATTTCCTCTTCTCAAGAACAGGGAATGGAGATAAAGACTTACTCAGTGCCCATTATACATCAGGTTTTATGTTGCTGTTCCCATTAAATCTAAATTTTATGAGATGGTATTATACTCATTTTCCAGGAAAGGACAATGAGACTCAAAGAAGCTAGATGATTTCACCAGTCACACAACTGCGTCAGGTGATAAAGCTAAGTACATATGACCCTGTAGTCCATGGTTTAACACGCCGCCGCTGCCACCACCACTACCAACAACAACCACAATAAGGCAGACATTTCTGATGGGACAAAGTCTTTTCAGTTTCTGGAATTATTTTAAAATAGCAAGATTGGAAAACTTTGATAAGATTGCTGTGTTACATAGAAACTGATTTTATGCATTCAGTCTCTTCTAAGCAGCATGTTCTTCAGGATCAGGGGCATACCAGTTAAAATGCTGTTTGGGACAGCCACATCCCACACTGGAGTGCCTGGATTTGAATCCCGTTCTGCGCCTGATTCCGGATTTCTGCTAATGCTCACCCTGAGAGGCAGCAGGTGATGGCTCAAGTAGTTGAGTCGCTGCCATCTGTCGGGAGACCTGCATTGAGTTCCTGGCTCCTGGCTTCTACCTGGCCCATCCTTGACTGTTGTGAGCATTTGGGGAGAGAACCAGAGGATGGGTGCTCTGTTTGTCTCTCTGTCTTTTGAGTAAACAAATATTAATTTTTTTTTAAACTCAATTTCTTCAGTATTGCCTTTATGGAAATCTTAGTTGGTTGAGAGTTATAAACTAAATGAGGAACAGCATAGAACACTTTCATTGCAGGTTTAAAAAAAGATTTATTTGTTTATTTGAAAGGTAGAGTGATAGAGAATGAAGTAGAGAGAGTGGCTATAACTGCCAAGGCTGGTCCAGGCTGAAGCCAAGAGCCTAGTACTCCATCCAGGTCTCCCATATGGGTGACAGGGACCCAA